CTTCCGTCCAGCTTTCTCCAGCTGACTCCTTGATTCCCTCGAAGATCAGGTTTTTTCGCTTGGACTGTACTTCCAAATGCTCCATTTTATCCGTTATGGCTATTAGACTCTCACAAGTTTTGTAGACATCATCCCTTGTTTCCTTGGTTTGTATTTTCTGTTCACCCATGGCTGCTTTAATCACATCCACATCTCGCTGGGTAAACTGCAAACTCGTTTTTATCTCCTGTATTTCTCTGGTCATGTCGTCGAGTCTCTTGTTATTTGTCTCCATAAGTAGTTGCACAAAACCTTTGAAGTCGTCTTGTTGTTGGCTCAACAGTGCTGTGTACATCTGCTTCTGCTGACTCAACATCTCTGTTACTTGCGCTGCTGAAATATAATCCTCTTCTGCTTCAACATCCTCGTTCGCTTCTGATTTATTAGCTCTTTTCCCTCTTGGAGGAATTTTAATAGTTGTAGAATTTGTTCAAAGACTTGAAAATGTAGAAGATGTGAAAAATCGTAGAACAGACAAGAGGAGCAGTACAGACATCTGCCATTTGAAATTCTACCTTTTAAAATGTTACTTATTTTAACTGGTACAGCCAGAATGTTAACATAAGCTTTTATGCTTAAAGAATAAGTAATATATTAACCTGTTTTCTTGTATGTTTGTATTTACAATCACATTGTCCACATGACTTTAGGTTATAAGAGTAAAAAGCTAAGTTACCTCTTTCTAAACATATAGCAGGGTTCACATTTCAGCACTTTTTTGGGTGGTGGTGTCAGTGGAGAACATTCATATATTTCTTTTATCTATTTGTTTACATCTTTCACACAAAGTACAAAGACATTCATTTTAGGTTTTGTTCTGTTATACAAGTTGAACAGGTTTGTAGCCCATAGGGCTGTTATGCCACCTAGTGGTTATTCACCTGTGTACTGCTAAATACATAAATTAGAGATACTGTATTTGAGTGACAATGTATTTAATATACAATATCTTTTGTATTTCTGTATTGGTTCTCGCAGTGAAACAGCTGAGTAACAGCATGAGTTCAAAGGATATTTAAAGTTTTAAATGATCTGAAGGATCTTAAAGTTAAATCAAATAAGGCCTAATAAGATTTTGAATTTGTGACAGGGTGTTCACTGAGGGTTGTTAATACAGTCGTGGGTTAAGTCTTCATCAGAGTGTCGGCCTGGTTGTTTTGGCACCATCCAGAGGGGAGGAGTTCAAACTGTTTGTGTCCAGGGTGTGAGGGGTCTGCAGAAATCTTCTCTGACTTCCTTTTGGCTCGCGAGGTGTACAGGTTGTCCATGGAGGGTAGGCCGGTACTGATGATCCTTTCCACAGTCCTGACTGTCCACTGGAATCTGTTCCTGGCCTGTTTGGTCACTGAGCAAAACCAGACAATGATGGAGGTGCAGAGAACAGACTCGATGATTCCTCGGTAGAACTGTATCAGCAGCTGCTGGGGCAGGTTGAACTTCCTGAGCTGATGCAGGAAGAACATCCTCTGCTGTGCCTTTTTGATGATGGCGCTGATGTTGGACATCCACTTCAGGTCCCAGGAGACAGTGGAGCCCAGGAAGTTGAGAGCACACAACCCTGGGCTGATGGTCCCGGTGCTGGATGTGGTTTTCCCCAGCCTCACCTGCTGCTTCCTGTCTGTCAGAAAGCTGGTGATCCATTGACAGGTGGGGGCAGGCACAGTGAGCTGGGGCAGTTTAGAGTGGAGCATGTCCAGGATCATGGGGAGTTCAGGTGTTGCAGAATGTAATACAGGGCCAGGTTGACTACATCATCCACTGACCCGTTTGTCTGGTAGACAAAGTGCAGATGGTCCAGCAGGGGGTCTATGATGTCCTTCAGATGGACCAACACCAGTCTCTCAAAGCACTTCATAACTACAGATGTCAGAGCGACAGGTCTGAATTAACTGGAACGGGATGATGGTGGAGCATTTGAAGCAAGAGGTGACTTTACACAGCTCCAGTGATCTGCTGAAGGTAAGTGTTAAGATGGGGGCCAGCTGATCAGCACAAGCTGCTAGGCAGGAGGGGGTCACACTGTCTGGGCCTGGTGTTGTTCTGATCCTTTATATAAAAAAAAAAAAAGAAAAAAAGCCATGCACATCCTTTACACAGATTTACAGGGGTGGAGGGCTGGGGAAAGATGAGTGTGGAGAACTATATGGAGGAAGTTAAAAGATTCAGGAGTAAAAGGCAAAGTTGTCCATATTGTTTTCAGACTGAAGTAGCAAGACAGTAGCAATTAAAATGAAGGGTCTTAATTTCATATTTGTGAACATAATTTATTTACATCATACGATTTTTCTTTAAGATTGGAAGATTATACACATACATACACACACACACACACACACACTGCAGTAAATAAATAGAAATGTTTATACAAACTTACATAACCAAGGGTTAAAAAACAACACAGATTAAGCAGTCAGACCAGAAATCATCAAAAACCAATTGATTCATAACCAATGATGACAGAACTCAGTAATTCACTGCAGCACACACTTAGCCTCATACGATACTCACACACCAGCACGTGTTTACACAGTATGCCACAGTCCAACACTCAACATTGTGAATTTGTCAGCTCACGTTAAAAAGAGGAAAACATTCAAGACTGATGTAAAAAATGAAAATGTTAGTGGAGCTAAACCCTCCCAGAGGCAAAGATTAATACAAGTGTTGGCTACTTGTCATACAATACACAGCTTTTCTGGAAAACAAACAAAAGGAAACAAATGTCAGTCAGGTGACATGTTTAGTCACGTGACTTCTGTGGATGGTTTTAAGGAAATAAAAGCGAGAAGTCTGCATCTTGCCAACCAGATCCACAACAAGTCCAAGCATTCAGCCCAAGATCAATGGGGGAAAAAGTTAACTGCCAAATGACACAGTTTCTAGTGCCACACTCACAGTAGGAGGGCAGGACTATGAGCCAGCAAGACAAGGCTCACAGCTAAATCTCTTTATAGGAATATGTCTGAGCTGCAGGTCACAGGCGGTCCAGAGTGGACGAGGCTGCAGCGGCACAGATGTGTTTCAGGTTGATAAAGATTTACCAAGTCTGACAAATCAGGAGAGGTGAACTCTGAGTTAGGTGGGGGTCAGACAATGGAAATAAAAAAAAAAAAATCCGTTTTGCTACTCAAGCCAGCAGAGAGCAAGCACGGCTGAGATGGCACTATCAGCCAACAGCAGTAACAAGTTGAGAGTCCAAACAGGATTGAAGTGTGCAAGCTCAGGCAGGGTCCAGGTGATCTCAGGAGGCTCACGTAACAAACTGGACAGCCATCAACAGCATTTTCTGAAAGGGTAATGACTTTTTCTTCAGCACTCTCACTCACTTCCCATACTATACCCTGACCCCTGCCAAATATACATTATTTGATTATTCAGAACAACCATCCAAGTGTTAAAAATCCTATCCAGACAGGAACAAAGTTGAAAACTTAGGAGAACTTTCATGCACTGGGAAAAATGTCCTGAAAGTGTTACAAACCAAAAAAGAAAATCAGATCCTTCAGGAAGGAGGCTGAGCTCAAGTCTAAGTCTTTATAAAGCCGACTGCTCCCAGGATCCAAAGTCAAACTGTGTCCTCCTCATATTCTCTGGATCTTATCGGCAACAACCATGGGGTTCTCTTTGCGAATCTTGGCAGCAGCTTCACCTTTGTAGTCGTACGGACAGTTGTGCTTATCAGAGTAACGGTGCAGTCCACAGAACAGATTCCCACAACGGCAGTCAAAACCTGAAATGCCACAGCAGAGGACAAGTCGATCAATAACAAGTACTCGCTATGACAAAACCCAGGTAGACTGGTGGGGTTGAAAAAAAAAAAAAAAAAAAGAAGTTACTAAATATTTAATCTGAAATCAAATCACTTTTGAATCAATAAGCATCTTCATCTTTTGGTCTCTCCATTTAGGCCTTTTGGTGCCTCAAGCAAAATGCAACTTTTTTATATTTGCCGCAGAAGGCTATAGGCCTTTTGGTGCCTCAAGCAAAATGCTACTTTTTTTTATATTTGCGCGCAGAAGGCTACGACATAAATTGACTTATGTTAGTCTTTCAAAGCAGTGACTGCAAAATTCTGAGTTTACCCACTACTCGCTTTCTGACGTAGACATCTCTGGTTTGTGGGGCTTATTGTGAGTCCCTGAAAACTTAAGACAGCATGGCCTGACACCTCCCCCATTTGGGGCCAAATAATGGGTCATTTAACTCATATACTGAGCATCCATATGAATGTTCTCCCATTCTTTGGCACATTTAATTGTGTACTATGGACTTTTGAACACAAAGAAACACAGATGAACTGAAATAAGCTACAGTTGTCCACTTGAATGTCACAGGGAAAAAAACAATCCTACTAGAACAGAAACAAACCAGTGTGTGTGTGTGTGTGTGTGTGTGTGTGTGTGTGGTGGGGATTCTAATGACATCAGTTGTGTGTGCCATTTCTTACCTGTGAGGCCAACCTTTTTGCGGCACATAAAGCAGCGGTTCTTTTTGGATTTTGGGGGCTCTGGGGTTTTGGACTCTTCACTGCAAGTATTAGAGGGAAGAGAGGCTGAGACTGTGGGCTGACTCACCACTGGAGACACAACAGGAAAAAAGGAAAAACAAACAAAAATCAGTCAAGTAACTTTTGCATCCTACACAGAGGTGTAATACTATTAACATTTATAAACAAAACAGCATTTGTCAGACAACGAACCATCCTGGAAACAAAGGTGGAGAATGTTTACATTATTGCATATTACATTTTCCATATGTTAAAACAAAATAACTGTTTGTTTTTAGCTTGTTGTGTGACTAAAACATCTGTCAAATCATTGTACTAATACATCATCACATTGACTCAAACTATGCTCAAAATCCAATACTGACAAAAAGTTCTACTCAGTGGTTCAAAACTTTATCCTCAATGGTCAGTACATATAGACCAGGGGTGCCCAAAGTGGGGCCCGCGGAACATTTGTTTTGACCCGCGGGGATATTTCTTGGCCCCCCACAATTTATTATGCCACCCCAGTTGTCAGGTCAAGCAGCTCCCAGCTCAGCTCGCAACCCGCCAATAAAACAAGGAGAAGAAGAAGAAGAAGAAGAACAACAACAACAACAACAACACGAAGAACGGCGAAGTATCAA